CTTGTCGTTTCAATGGCTTGTGTTGTCCCCCCTGACATGACAACTGATTCCTGAKCGGTCTTTCCTCGCTGCAAAACCTCTTGTACATCAAAATCACTTATTTTGGGATTCCTTCTGTTTTTAAACTKCTTGAGGTACTTGTTCTTTGAGCTGAAAAAACGTCTCGTAAATAGATGAAAATGAAAATTTCTCGYAGCACAACGTACACAACCAAAAGAYCTAGAAGCCATCTTGTTTCTATGCCGAAGTTTGTCCGAAGTATATCTCGAAGTTTTGACGATAAGTTATTGACTTTACCTTCATCGGTGACTTTTTTTCGGAAAGCCAAAACAGAAATAGATAAAATGTTCAACATTTTCTCAAAATTCAAGTCTCCCCWATTAAAAAAGAATTAAAAAACAAAGCTTTTTAAATTCATTTAAAAGATTTCGTTATGATCGCAGTTGTATCGATTCAAGTCCGTTACCTGACCGACCTCATCCGAACATTACCGATGTTGGCCTTCCAGTCCCTCTTCCAGTTCGCTTCCACGCTGTCTTGTTTGATTGTCATGCTGGGCGGTGCGAGTTTTCAAGCTAYCGACTCATTCATTATAGATGTGTAATGCAGTGTGTTTTGACAAGGACCGGCAGATGTCTTTTAAGAAGCTCTAAYTTTTGTCTTGCTGGAAGAACTCAAATTGTCAAACAGTTGCTTTCATTTAAGCTTACTCAGTTCAACAAAGGAACTTTAGGTAAGGTAGGATATTGTTTTCACTTTCGATTTCTGATAGGTTTCCTTGGACTCGAGAAGTAAATGTCAAAGATCGACGAATTTAACTTAAAAATACTGTGAATAATAGTGGTGTACGAAACTTACGATCGCTTCGTTGCTGTGAGGATTTTGAATCACATTTTGTCATATGTGTTTGCTTTGGGCCGTTTGTTTTTTTACTGAAATCCTACATGTAGTTTGGTGAAGCCGGTCAGTCGTGAGATCATATCTTGCGATACCAAAAGGATTTTTAAAATTTCTGGATATGCCAATCATCGTAAAAAGACATTATTAGAATCCAAGTTGGAAGCGTCCTGCTCGGGCTGGGGTAAGATATTCAGGCAAAATTGGTATTTCTGAGTAAATACTAGTTCATCTTGAAGATTTAAAAATGTACGTTCATTTTGACAATCTTAATTCTGTCTTGTGRAAAAACAAGCTTACTTCTACTTCAAAAATGTTTCCTTCGAATTAAGTGGATTTCCTCGTTAATATGTGATAAAAATATTTAGATGAGCAAAATAAAAATGCTTTGTTAGTGCATTGTAAGTATGATTAGATAGGTGCGGTTTATTCCTATATCTTACAATAACGCATTGTCTTTTTGTTGTATGTACAGATAATATGAAAACCAGACCTTTAGTGCTATGTGGGCCCAGTGGATGTGGCAAAAGTACTTTAGTCAAGAAGTTGATGCAAGACTATCCTGATAAATTTGGGTTTAGTGTTTCTCGTAAGTGCATTAATTTGACATTTTAGTCTCCTATGCAGCYGCCACTAGTCTCGTCACTCAATGCTCACTCTCCTAAGTAGCTAAGTGTAAGTGAGTATTTTGTGACAATACTAATAGCTTAGGGGAGTGATCATTGTGTGATGGCACTAATATCGGCTGTGTAGGAGACTACTCATTATGAAGACTCATCTTCCCCTCCCTTAACAGTTCCTCTTAGAATGGGTATGAATGTTTATAGGGTGTCAATACACCTCCCATTCTAGCTTGGAAAGGCACTTGCATCATATYGTCATTTACTACCACTACCAAAATTCTTCGAACACTTAGGGGCTGTTTATATGGAGCGAGCCAGCCCGGTAAGCGGGCTAGCCAGCTTGGCCGAGATCTCGGGACGAGTTAATATGCTAACGAGGCTGGATGATTACATGACTGATTTCATCCCAGTAAGCRGGCTGAATTTTCCCATATAAACGCAATCCAAAATTCATCTCGGCCAAGCGGGCTAGCYCGCTTACTGGGCTGGCTCGCTCCATATAAACAGCCCCTTAGTCAATAATATTAGCAGCAATTGTCTTATTATTCTCATGAGGAAATAAAAATTGGAATAAGAAAAAAAATTGCAATGCATTTTGGTAGTGGTAAYAAAATGTTTCCTTCATATAAACAGCCTATTGGTTGGATTAAATATTAAATATTGTTAATTGCTCATAATTAGATACTGGTTGATTGTTCTTAATTTTGGTGGAACCCCCGAATTCCAATATTTGGCCATGTTCTGGATAATGTAATGTTTACCCGTATTTTATTTAATTCTGATATAGATACGACAAGATCACCAAGACCTGGAGAAGTTGACGGCAAAGGTGTGTACCAATATTGTCAGTTTATAGAGTACAAACACTAGTAGATAGAAGCATGCAATGCTTGATTTGCACTATTTAGCATGAAATAGAACTAATTACAGTGTGAATTGAAAAGCCATGGGCACCTAGAAATATTTCAAGAATGTTCAATAGCCAATCAGAAGCATTATTATCTTTCCTCTATCTTGTGGTTAGAAAGTCAATTCTGATTGGCCAAAGAAAAATGGAACATTCCTAGAATATTTCTAGGTGCCCATGGTTTTTCAATTYGCACTGTAARCAATAGAAAACAATAAAATTTGCACAATTTAGCATTATTTAGAGTGCATGCTTTTAATTTTYGTACAATAAGAATATTTGTTTTAAGCCAATAGAACACARGCAGCCCAAGCAGTGTTCTTGAGGCCTAAATAAGGAAATTTKTTTATATACTTCAAATTATAAAAATTGCTGTCAATAAACTTATCTTGATGTAAACTTACCAATATATAAAGGTTTTGGCACCCTCCGAAGTCATTTATAGGTACTTTTAACAGTGTAAGTTTTCRTATGGAGAGAAGTTACTCACACTGTTAAAAATTACATTGGTGATGTTTTCCAAAATCAAAATAAGGCCACATGTCATGCGGTTRTTTGTTKAAATTGTATCCATATTCATGTGTCTTCTCATGCTCAACTGTTAAACRAAAATATAATACTATRAGGAATGATGTCATTGGAAAATGGGAAAACATTATGCCTAAGCTATAAAACGTCTATTTTAGCGTAGCAAGTAAAGGCAATTTAACAGTCAATGATATTTTTCAATTCAGTTTCAAATTTACCCACTCAACTTGTTTATTGTAATAAGCTCCTGTTTTCAAGTATATTTACATRGGTTTTTCTGGAACAGATTATCACTTTACTGAGAGACAAGTGATGCAAAGGAGTATTGATGCTGGGGAGTTCATTGAAAGTGCAGAATACAGCACAAATCTTTATGGAACAAGGTATTAATAATAATAATCCAGAAGTTTACAAGTTTCTGGTCATGCAAGCATTCAGTTATCTGACACTTCTACTTTTAGTTCTTGTTTTATTTAAGAAAAGCTTAGATGCTGTATGCTGGTACAGCACTAGGGAATTTAAGATTTGCAAATTTGCAAAATCTCTGATGGCAACGTCAACYGGAAGTATAAATAACTTCTCTTTGAAGTTCTGTTCAATGGAGATTTCATTCAAAACATTGTCAGTGAAGTCAACTCATCCACAGGGAAGACAGACGTTGAAGGCGCGAAATCCCAAACTGAAGTATATTTACACTTCTGGTTGATGTCGCYGCTGTAGGGGTGCTTTACTGTAGCTCCCCTGGCCCCTCTTGCTCTGCAATCCCAGAGTAAGTGTTTCAGTTCAGAGTACCTATGATGATCTCAACACTCTTTTTTTCTATAAATTTTTTAGTAAAAAAGCAGTAAAAGATGTTCTTGATTCTGGTAAAGTTTGCATATTGGATATTGATATGCAGGTATGTTTGCAAATTCATGCCAAATCATAAATCTATCGAAATCTAATGTGTTTACCACTGCTGGGTGGATGGCTTAATTGCATAAATTACCACAGGGTAGACTAAGTTACAAATTAAAACAGAGTACAGTATAAATTTCAGTATGCAATCAAAGGAAGGAGCATTGTTTTCATGCAGGATTATAGGGCACACACATGAATTTGCACAATTTGCCGAGCTGCAAAATAGGGTTTTGGTAGTGGTCAATCAATCTCACCCCCCCTTCCTTCCTCTCCCTCCTGTGCTTAGAGAAAGATAAAAGGGAAAAAATCCAAAAATCCAGATTTAGAGTAAAGCTTAATTTTTCTTTTTAGCTTGTATTATTTTGCACACTTTTTAGCTTCCAACCTATTTTTCCATTAATTAAGTGAAAAATTTTCCAGGATTTATTTTTGTTTAGAACTTTGATCTAAATTGGGCTGCCTGTGGTCCTATTTTTTTTTAAGTGTAGGTATTAATTTTTGTTTCAGGGTGTAAAGAATATGAAGAATACTAATATAGATTGTTTATATGTGTTTACAAAGGCGCCTTCACTGGAAGAACTAGTAAGTGATAAATTCTGTTTAATGTTATCRGACAGACCTATAAATCAAGGTTTTGCATCATCACCTGATGGCAGCCATGCTAAATGCACAAATAATACAATCATTTTACATGAGAAAGAATTCAGTTCCCGAAAGCAAAGGGTTTTTATTGTTYTGCCATCTAACCTCAGGCACCCCAAGCTGTATTATAGGCAGAGGCTCGTGATGGTGGAAAATCTCTGTTCTTATAATAAGTATTTCAGTCGCTTATCTAGTGTATATTTATGTTTAAATTTACAACCACCACTCTCCATACAGGGCTCTTCCGTGATGTTCCCTCCACACRCAAGGGAGAGAACAACAAACCAAACAAATTAAACTCACATATGATCCAGTCTGAGCCGGGGCTCGAACCCAGACCATAACGTTGAGAGGCAAGTGGTAAACCACTACGCCACCCATGCCACCCAAATGTAACATTCCTTAGCATATACCAACTTGTGTACTTCCTAAGAACAYGCACACTCATTGGTTAATTGGAGGTGAATATTGTACAATATTCACCTCTGAATCTTGGAATATTGAACAAAATTGGCAACAAAATGGCTTCTGCCTGCAATCGTTGTGCTGCAATTTCCAATGAGGAAATTGAAAAAATGAGAGTAAATACCATTCCTATCAATRCTAAAAAGGCAACRAAGTATGGCCTAAAAGTTTTGCTAAACGTTTTGYGTGAATTTGTCAAGCAAACTAAAAGTTTCTGTTTGTTTGTTTTCATTGAATTATTGYATATAGAAATATTAAAGTTACTCTGTACACAAGTTGGTATATGCTAAAACAATTATTCACCTTAGGCTCAGTGAATATGGATAATATTTACCTCGCTGCTCAAGACTGGCATCTTGGTAAATATTCCCCGATATTCACTTCGCCTTTGGCGAATAATTAGAGAGTTTTAGATTGACATTCACAGCAAACRTCAGTAACGTCAGTTGATCGGTGAAAAATTCTTTTAAATAACTGAAAATGAATCGCAAAAAAATCCAAGTAGTAGGAAAACAAAAGAATATTTTTTTGTAAAATGAAAGTTTGCAAGAGATTGAGTAAAATACAGGAAAACGATGAAAACGTGGTCACATTTGCCATAATTGTGGGAAGGAAAAAAAATTCAATCTAAAACTCTCTATTGCAAATTATTTCTCACAGGAAAGAAGGCTTCGAAAGAGAGGAACTGAAACYGATGAATCTGTACAAAAAAGATTAGAAATTGCTAGTAAAGAGTTGGCTTATGGTGAGTCTTACACTTTGTGTGCCATCACATTTACCATACACATTGAGCTTTAAGCAACATTCCTGTCATCCTTGTTATGCAAAGTTTTACTGCACTTTTCRATATTATGTGAACTTGGTAATATTACAAGCTACACACTGAAATTTATTTTCAAAAATAATCAGTTGGTAGCTTTTATATTTATGACTGACGGCAGTACAAACTAACTTCACAACAAGCCAATAAAATGTCTGAGATCTCAGAATATTGAAAACTACTGTAACTATTACTGATTTTTCTGTTAGATAAAGTGACTTACTGTAACCTCTGAAGAAAAAAAAAAAACACCCTGGGCTAATACTGTAAAATCCTGGTTATAAGCCATTCCTTGATTTTTTAAAAGCTGCCCCTGTTATAAACCCATTAGTCTGTAACACAAATTTCCTATTTGTTACAAGCCCCCATCCCCATCCGCCTCTGGATTTTGCTTATTTTGTCCATGGAACATAAAGAGATGACTGTGAACATAAAAAAGAAATAGCCATTTTCCCTTATCTCTTTTCTCTTTAGTTATGAGCCCCCCTTCTTCAATCCAAACATCCAAACTCTCATTTATCTTCACCACCCCCCCTCCATGAATGTAAGCCCCTCTGGTCATAAACCTATCAAGAAAACCTTAATGAACAAGTGAGCACAAGTCCATGTTTTATAATCAGGATTTTATGATATTTGCTCAATTGACCTTTTGGGTTGGCAATTTTTTTTCAGGGAGAAGTTTGGATGGAAATTAATTGCATAATTTAAAATATATATCTGGATAATTTTTTGTTGACATTTTGTTCTCAAAATATCATATTTATTGTTGAAATCTGTCTTAAAGAACTACTGCATATAAACATAACATCTCTTTGGGTTTTTAATGTACTTTTTTTGCTTTGCAGCTGCAGAGCCAGGTTCATATGATTACATTATAGTAAATGATGATTTCGAGGGGGCCTACTCAGAATTTAAGGGAATAATAAACAAGGTAAGAAATGAAATAATCGCTAAAATATTTGTTTGATTATTAAAAAAGACTAAGTGTTTTAAAGTAAAATTAGAAAGTTAAACGTTTTTGACCAAAGTCATCACCAGAATGGGTACAGCTCATAGAAGCATGTCTTTTCAAATTACCCAAACAGTTGTGCAATGAAGCACATTGTCTGTTTTTTTCAGCGATGGTAAACTTGCTTCATTGAAGAACTGCTAAGCGGGTAAATTGAAAAATTACTTTGAATCATTTTGATGATGACTTCGGTCGAAAACATTAAACTTTATCATTTTCCTGCAAAATCCTTAGCCTTTTTTATAATCAAAAATAAGAAGAGGAATTCTAATCGAGGTTAAAGAAAAGTAAAAAACTTGTTTAGTTTGTCTGGGTTCAGTTCAGTTGGATTGGATTGGATTATATTACCTTGYACATTTTTTGACAGTTGCAGACATTCCCACTGACAAAGAGGCAGTAGCCTAGAAAATGTCAGTCTGGCAAAAAAATGTAGTGCTGTGTATCTTAATATATTTTACTGTAAGTCTACATTTACTTAATATAACTGCAGAGTTGTTGTGTACATTTTGTGAGCCTCTCTTTGATTATATTAGCCGAGATGTCCTATATTAGCTGGACGGAATTATCTGTAATGAAGAATGACTGATTTGAAAACTAAAAAGTGGAGAATTTAGTTTCAAGTTTGAAAGGAACAAACCCCATATATTCTAGTTCAGATTTTACCAATGACAGGAATTTTATTGAAAAACCAACTCTTAGGAAGGAAATTGGATAAATGAGAAAATTTCACTTAAATTAGATCACTAGCCTTGAGAGCTGTATGGTGCCATTTGTCATATTTTTTATGGATGCTGCTCAGAATTATCCAGAGGCTTGTATAAAGAAAACAAAAAAGRAAATCACACTTTTTCTCTTGGAATTGTTTTCAAAGGGTTTTTCACTTTTCTGTTAGCCTCACATTTAACAATATTTTGAAGTCTATCAATATAGAGATTTTTATTAAAAATTTCTTTATAGATTTYCAATCTATTTTTATTATRAGTCTAGACTTTGATACGAAATTTCTTAGAAAAACAAACGCAGCAAGATAAATTGATTTTTAGTTTTCGAAATTAAAAGCAGATTTTTAATTCACACACTACACACTTGGCAAATTAATCTGCACAATGTTTGTTTTATTTATTTAACATTATTTATTAAATTTTCTTTAGTMTGGTTAGGTTCCTGCATTGAACGGACTACTCAGGTTTAAATTGAAATATTCATTGTTATTGAAAACTCTTTTTCATTACTTTTTTCCATCTTTGTTTAGGAAATCGTTCCATTATCGTGAAGAAGCTTACCACGAAATTAATGTATGTAATCATTTCCAATATTCTTTCAAATACTGAACAAATACTTAGAATGTGACAACTGCATGATGAACAAAGTGCATCGCTGGATAATGAAACAAGATCTTCATGAAAGGCAACTTGAACCTTCTTGAAAACGACAGCGTTCTGTTCCTGTATTCGAACTAGGTGTAAAGGGTCCAAGAAAGCTCTCTTAGATATTATGCCTCCTACGTTGCTCTTCAATAGTATTGTCCACGACTTTACGACTCAGACAACTGCAGACATCTTAAGTTGTAGCTTCCTCATTCCAACCTACGTTATGAAGTGTTTTTTTTGATTGAAAGAAAGAATTCCAAAAATCGAGTTGTCTGCAGTCTTCTTTGCGTATTTTATCCAATACCGAGAATGCTTTTTCTCAGCTGCACGAGTCTTTCCGCAATTTTTCCTTGAAAAAATTGAAAATCGTAAAAGATTTTTAATTTATTGAGAGAGAGAGAGAGAGAGAGAGAGAGAGAGAGAGAGAGATAAGAGTTTCTACTCGCATTGGGTACCAACTAGACGTTAATCCATTTATACGTCTTTTAGAATATTTATACATGAATTAAGTATATTACATTTCCAACAATTTTGAAAACTTCCAAACATCATCACTCGTAACTATAAATTCCGTATTGTACTCGAGATCGTGCGATTTCCTATACTTATACGTCTTTGAAAATTCAACACGAAATGTTACATTTCCAGCTGACTTTAGCTGTTTTAATCATTGTTAGATGTGTCTGTAATAAATAAAATCAGTTTGGGACAAAGTCATTTACTAAACAACTGGGTTTATGGGCTGTTCAAAGGACTCGGAGTGAAACTGTTCCTGCTAAAGAGTCTCGGGGCCACCCTTTTTCTCAAAGCCCCCAACCTCCCCCCCGAAAGAAATAAACGCGGGGTGTTTTGTACTTGTCAGAATCAATACAACAAATATGTCAAACCCTGAAACAACCTCTGGCTTGATTAAACCATAGTTAATAGAGGGGAATGGTTATGAAACCTATTGTTATATGTCTTTGTTCACTTTTTTCAAGCGTGACCGTGCACAATCCTTTGTTTTACTATTGTTTTACCATTGTTGGCAATGGTTGAGCGAACAGACAAAAATCTTTCTTTTCGCTGCTAGTTCAAAATACTTAAAAACTTATGAGAGATATTTCAATATTCCTTATCATAATCCCATAGACAAAGCTTATGTTAACTTATTTTGCATTTTCGGACGAGCATAAATCAAACATTGTGCACGGTCAAGACCGGTTCAACATCAAAAGCGAACAAAGACAGATAACAATAGGTTTCTTAACCATTCCCCTCTATTAACTATGATTAAACTTAGTAAACGACAGCTACTCATAAATTTACCGCCTTTTATGAGTTTCTAGCCACAGTTTGTTGACATCTTAGTTCATTCACTGACCGAATTGGAGAAAACAAGACAAAAAACTGTGGGCTTTGCAGAGGACTGAAACCCCGAGAAAAACCCTCGAATCGACTGAATTAAGGCAGAGGTGCATGAAAATCTACTTGAATGTGAGCTAGCGAGCTAAAATCTAGATCAGGCGAAAGATACTTGCAGCCATCTTGCGAGCTTGACAGGAGTTTTTTTTTTTTTTTTCTTTTTTTTTTTTTTTTTTTTTTACATGCTAAGACCTCGAAAGATTTAGTTAATATAACTTCGTTATGATTGTGATTATGAGGCTAAATTCCTTTTTAAAACACATTTCACGCACTAAAAACGACTCAATTAGTGCCGGATATAATCTTACGAGTGCAGAAATCTTTCTCGCTGATGCCCTCGCTTGCTCCTAATCACACAGCAAGAAGATGAGAATGTGTGGACCGCGTAGCACTTATGAAATACATGAAGATATAGAAATATAGATAAGTTATAGTGCTTGGGAACGAGGTTATTCCGGGCGAAAGCCCTTGGAATTAAATTCGGAAAAGTTAATTTCCGACCTCGCTGGGAAGAAGATGCTTAAGTTTGTAATTATTAAGACGATTGTTAAGCTACTTTTGATTATTAAAACAATCGCCACTAACACCCTAACTCGAGCACAGGTAGCCCATACTCTGTTTTTTTGTTTTTGTTTTTGTCTTTGTTGTTTTCTTTTCCTATTTTTTCCGGACCTCTAAATCTATATACGAATCAAAACTAAGCATTCATTCATAGGCACGCTAATCAAAGATCAAGAAACATAGAAGTTCTGTGTCGTTTGTTCTGATGATAAGGAATCCCAATTTTGAAACTTTTCTTATGACTCTCCACAACGACACACGTTAATTAGATCTAACAAGGACGTTTGCATGATGGCATCTTTGACCTTTACTGCCAGACTCCCTTGCACACTTTCTTTTGTTCAGTTAGCACCGATTGCCTTACTATTCTCATGAGGGAATATAAATTTGAATAAGAAAGAAAATTAGCGAAGCATCTTGGTAGTGGGAGTCAAATGACGCCATCATGCAAACGTCCTAGCCCTATTCTAAATGAACATTTGTTCCCTTTTTATACATATTTCAATAAAAGTTAGTCACCTGAAAAGCTCCAAAGCTGAGACCAGCAAGGATTATGGGTAGATACTTTTACATATTTCGACCGCGGTTACAGTCGATCTCGTTCCCAGGGTCTTCTATTCTCGATTTTTTTTTTCAAAATAGAGGCACTCGATGGGAAGATATTTCCTTCGAGCGCCGCCATCTTAAAAAAAAACGCGAAGAAATAAGGCCCGGGGAAGGAGGTTCCAGTTAACCTCCTGTGAGTATCTTCAAGCTGCAGTTTTTATCAAAAAGCTTTACCAACTTTATTGAAATAAGTTAATACATCTGCCTCAATTACAATTGTCTACGGAATGCGACACCGAACAAGTCTCCGCCTATGTCAGTGAAGTGATCATATCTAGATTCTTGTCATTACAACTACTTAACTTATCAGTACACTCAACAAAACTGCTCGATTCATATTGATCGAAGTCGTAAACCGCTAATGTTTTTCATGATTGACCTTGCTTGATAATACGATTTCCTATACGATATATAGTCATTACGAACATAGAACTATACTCTATTTATAGAACTACTTCTACTTTTATGCGTAATTACTGTCTGACAAATTTCACTTCTCAGAGTTGGTCCTTTTTCCTTTATTAATTATTTTTAGCTTTTTTGTTCCTTCTTTCCCATTACAAGACTAATTCCGCATTGACCCGCCCGTCTGCGAACTACACGGGCTGCATCGATATCTCTCCATATTATCGCTGTTTAATATTAAATAGTAGTCAAATTGCAAACCCCTTCCCTTGTTCAAAAGGCGTCTTAAAACAACTTTTATTCCATCATCACCCAACGTTCCGTCTTAAGGTCTTCCAGGTTCCTTCGTTACCCCGAAATAGCTCTGTTAAATAAAAATCAATATATTTTTTGAGCAAAATGAATGTCAGGTATAACACAATTTTGTTTCCATCAGCGGGGGTTAAGAACCCAAGCGGTAATGCACGCTTTAATTATCAGGTCTAGCAGACATAATAGAAAAATAAAATAAAATCAATCAATCACAGAACATTGGGAATGCAAAATAAGCTGTTGCCCTCTCCATGATTAAACTTGAATTTAGCAGTGCTAATTTTCGCCAAGGAAGACTGGGAGAATCCAAAGAAAAATCCTAATAGCACAGGCGCGAATCACTACAGTATAATCGAGGACTCTACTAATATATATATATATATATATATATAT